GAATATGAGAATTGAAGTCGGTTGTGTTCTTTCCTTAAAAACTACTTGTTTAATAAAAAGTTCTATAAACTCAAGATGCGCTCAACTTTCAAAAGTATCAAATAAAAAATTTTAAAAAAGTCAGTAAAAATAAATTTATTGATTCCATGAATTTTTGTACTTCTATGTTCCATTTTTTCGATTTCTGGTTTTCGATAGAGATGGTGATTTTTCACGATTGCTAAATTTTTTTAATATTTCAAATACCGAAAAAATTAACTGAACTCTCAAGAAAAACGAAAAATTCATATAAAACGACGGATGAGAAATGGAAAAGAAATTTTCTTCTACCAAAATTTCTTAAATCAGTTTGCAGCTCTCAAGAAAAAAAATGCTCGTATATTTATTCCCGCATGAAAATTTACAGCAAAAGCAAAGCGCTCTTTCAAGCAACAGAAATTATAATAAATATTTCTTATAATTTCCTTGAGAGCTGGATTCTTACCTTTAAGATACAGATTGTATTTGAGGTTATTAGCTTTAGGAGGGGTTTGAACCCCAAAACCCACCCCTTGTGTGCGCTAATGGAAGTGACATTTATGTCCTGGCGCAAATAGAGAAACCGATTTCTAATAACAGTTTAAGAAAGTGAACTCCAAATTAAAAGTAATTTTAAAATGAAATGTAAATAATTCTTGGACTATTTAAACACTCAAAGTGGAAATGATCTCATTATTGCCATTCAAAAATGTCAAAAATATTAAATTATTTATTGGCTCCTGTATACAATGATATTATGAGGGTAATTTATACTACATGTTAAAAAGGTGTTCACATGAGGTGATTTTAGAGGCAATTTTAGAGACGATTAGTTGAATCAAAAGTTGGCTGTATGAAATTACATTTTCATGCGCCTGCATGAAAGTACATTTTTTGGAAGGTACAAGCAAATCTATAACAAATGACACGTTTGCTCACGACAAAAATATACGAATGCCTTGGTGCTATTGAAATTATCTTACTACGTAGAATATGTATGTGTGCATATTAGAAAAACGCTTATAATAATTTATAAATGAGAAACTAATGTATGTGTATACATAATATACACACATATTCATATATACCATATATATGTACATACATAGGTTCCTAGAATATATGAGGCATTGGTTTTTGGCGATTTTTGTATGTACAAGCTATATAGGTTTTCGTTCTAACCCAAATAACGTTTAAATAAAGTTTGCTGTGGGATGACGATAATCCATACCGAATTGAGGTCGAAGTTCTAGTTAAGAAGTTGTTAACACACCGCGCAACAACACGTTTATCATACCATGATATTAAGTGGGTTTTATGAAAGGCCATGGACAGGATTCCGTCGGCACAGGTGGAATGAAATTTTCAGTGCCAGAGTGGACAGGGAAAGGATCTTTGGTCTCAACGTAATGAAATTCAGCATCTGCAGCAATAAGAAGCGGGAGGCCGAAATACTTGGAAAGCACTAACCAGAGAGTTACGGCAGGTTTCCAGACTAGTACTCTTTTAAGAATAATAACGGCGACTTAGTGGCAAATGTCCAGAATGTACTTAAATTATTGAAGGAACATTTTTCTACCCTTTCTAAATGGTAGCAGCACTAAAAGTGCTGGAGAAGACGAGCCCGGGCTCTAGTCGATGACAATGGAGTTGAGATGTCCCACCGCCTGACTATGACGAGGTATGATTATCAATTATTCGGCTGAAAAAAACTACTGGAGCTGACGGTGTGCCAGTTATTTAAGTATTCAAGAAAGGCGACCCGGCCATGCGTGCCAACTATCGCGGGATCAGCCTTCTAAACATAGGTTACTAGGTCTAGAGTTGAATAATCAACCATACACCAGAAAATTACAATTCACCAAAAACTCTCGAGAATAGGACCAACACACATCATATATTTGTCAATTTCGAAAAAAGGGTAGTTATCGTTATACCGCGATGTCTGAATATAGAATCCTCATGAAACTGATACGGCTGTGTAAAGTGACGTTGCGAAATACCACCAGCTCCGTCAGAATTGGGAAAGGCCTCACCGAGCCGTTTGCCCCTAAACGGGGTTTCAGACAGAGCGACTCTCTTTCATGTCATCACACCTCAGATACAATTTTATATATGAGCGTACAGTTGCCGGCGTATATCGACGACATCGACGTAATCGGTAAAAACTAGGTAGACGCAAAGCAATGCGGACAAAATGATGTCTGTTCTGTCATCGAACAAACAGTTAGAGCATTCGCGTCTCGGCACCCACATCACTGTAGACGGCTTCGTATAATTAGGAACCAGCATTAATACCCATATTAATTATAGCCTTCGAATCCAACGGAGAATTACTCTTGCCCAGAAGTACTACTTTGGACTGAGTAGGCAACTGAAAACTAAAGCCCTCTCTCGTCGAATCAGGCCAAATCCTTTATTATATTTTATAATACCAAAAGCTAAAGCGATTTAACAGGAGGAACCTTGATGAAGATCCTTGATAATTTTTAATGGTGCAGAAATGGATAAAAAAGGCTTGTAAAAATAATTGGCTCTAAATCAAAAATTCTAGAAGATCTGCAAAACTCTTTATGAATAGGCTGCCATTGCACGCCGATCTGCTTAAATAATGCCTTTTAATCGATTTGGTGCTTTTAAAGAAGCAGTTTACTGACTAGTTACCATTACTTTTAATTCATGTTAACTAATTGTCGATTAATGCTAGATAGCAGTAATCGGTTGATAATTTACTATTAGAGTACACCAATTTTGTGCTACTTTGTTATTAAATTGATTATTTGATCATTATGTTTTAATTTCACTCAGGATAAAAAACATATTTTTTAACTTACTAACGACTATATCGTGTGGTTATCAAATTAAGTTCATTGCAAATTCATAAAAGAACATAAATAAAAAAGTTAATTGAAATAATAAACAATGTCTAAGTGGAAAATAACTGGAACTACATACAGATCTATTTAATTTTTAGTAATTATTACATATAATTATAATATATAGTAATTACGTTAATTATAATAATAATAGTAATCTATTGATAAAAATCTACTAATCAAAATGACAGCACCCTTATTAGTCGTAAAATAAATTTATATGCTTTGCCTAAATTTCAGATACCAGGATCAGAACTAGTGCAGTCCGGCGATTTCCCATGCTCCGGGCTAGCAAAACGAAGAAAAATCCGTAGGGATATTCCTTGAGTCTGGCAAATCTCTTGCATGGTGCACAGATTGCACGCTAAAACCCGCTTTTCGTATGGGACAGCTTTGCAAACCGTGGAATCCGAACAACGTGCAAGGGTTTAGCAAGACTCAGAAAATACCCCTAATATCTAACCCCCCTATTGCGAGTGTCGACTAGTAGTAGATAAACGACTCTTCCTCGATAACCGCTTTTCCATGGTATTGCGAGTGTCGACTTCTCGTGGAATAAGCGACTGAATACTGTGAATTGTTTTTAATCGCTCATCCTTGTACAACTGTTTGTTTGTAGAACTATTCACTGTCGCTTATTGAAATCGAAAAAGATTTTGAAAATACCACGGAAAATTTATAATCGACACACAGTCATTTATCTACTACTAGTCGACACTCGGAATAGGGGTGTAAGTATTTAAGTACTTAGTGTATCTTTTCAATTGAGCTGGAAACAACTTGAAAGCAGTTGAATAGGCTTTCTATTTTCGAAAGATAGCAGCCTTATAAGTTTGCAACGGGAATATGCCGTCCTCTGTTACTTTGGTACACAATTTAGCCTGATGCACCTTTTTAATTTTTTGCTCAGGCATTCTCTAGTCTTATAGGCCACTCTCTGGAGTATAGCGGGAAAAATGCCATCTAGACCTTACACCTGATAAGGCTTTAATTTGTTTCTATGCATTAAACGGTAAGCACTAAAGTTTTATTAAGAAAGGAGGCGCCATAATTTCCCTGCAGGGAAAGCTACTAGTTGTGAATTAGAATTCTACCAGTTTGCGTTTCAGCCCAAATAGTTGACGTTCTATCCTTTTTCATTGTTAGCGACTGGTATTTTTAACATTGCGATGTCCTACGAGATGGCAATTGTCAGGCTATGCATCAGCATCTACTAGTAGAAATACTAGTAGCATCATACCAGTTGATGAGATAGTCAGCCAGTTCATCCCCCATGAAAAGCATTATTATGTCTTTTTGCTCACGGCGCTCCAACAGTCGCAATGGCCGACAGAGCAAAGCACTCGCGTGGTATGCCTGAGGTACCAGGTTCAAGCCCTGGCGCAGGGAATTTTTTTTTAATTCTATTTTTTCTTTATAATATTTTTTTATTTACGCTTTTTTTGTTATTCTTAAATTTAATTAAAAAACTATATTTTTTTAATCTATTTTTTTATGGCACAAGTATTTCTTCCCATATATTTGCTTGTTTCTTGTTTTTTGTATTGCAACTAGATTTTTAAGTTTGTTATTTGTATTTAAATTGAAATAATTATTCCTACTTACATTGATCTAACTTTAAAAATCTTAACCACCTCCAAGCGGCCTCGAACCTGCGATCCCAGAACCAGAACCAGTAGTCTTCACGTGACGCCACAGCCGACATTTGTAAGAAAAGCAATTAATTGCGTTTTATTTTAGGCTTTGGCAATTCAAAGGCAGATGTCGCTGAACGCTTAAGTTCTTCGAAAATGTCGAACTGGTAGGCACATACTAGTTTATGAACTAGTATTTTTTCTAACTGGTTTGGGAAGTAGTAATGCTAGAGTTTGATAAAAGCGGAAACTAGTGGCTAGTAAACTATTTGTAGTGGAAAGTGAAAGAAATATTTAAACCCACATGTACATATATAAATATACATATTCCCGTTTTTTTTTTTTTAATTTATGCAAACGTACTTAAGTATATGGACATATGTATGTATTAAGTAACAATCCGATCCGGTAGAAACTATATTATATTTGGTGGAAAACAGAATTTCACAATAAAGATAAATTTTTTTTTTACCTGTGTTTTTTTACTGTAGTTGCATTTAGCCAAATTCGCCTTTGCTGAAATGTCAAGCCTATGCAACTTTTGCAGGCATATCCCCATTTTTTACTGCCTAACTTTCCGTATGTTTATATGTTATACCACTAAAAACAATGGGAAATCGATTTTCCTGCATTTCCTTCAACCGTTGCGTGTTTGCGCGCTTCCGTCGATTGTTAATGTAATGCGTTTCACCTTCTTCTTGCTCACAGCGCCGCAACTGTTTAGATGACTGAAATGGCACTCCTTGGGAGCGCTCTTAATCAACGTCTAGCTCAGAAAAAAATTTTCTGACTTCAGACCGGGATATTATATTGATGAAAGTTCATCGATTTTTATGCCATTTCTGCTTACTGGAACATAGCGTTATGCTTTCGACCAGCTTATGTACTTTTACAGCATTTGCTGGCACACAACTTAAGCATGTAGGTTGGTTATTTGAGTTGTTGTAAGCTTTGGTGCTTGCTGTTTTGATTGTTAGCGAATGCGTTCAATTTGTTATTGTACTCGTCAATTTATTCAATTAGTAGCGGAATTAGATAATGGCTTGAGATTTTCATCTCCTCTTTGTGTGTAAAATTTTATAAACCGTATCACTTTCCTATGCACATGGAAGACCGACTGACCGACCGCCCGACTAACCGACCGTGGTCCATCAGTCAGACATCACAACTCAACGAATCGAAATGAATAATTTATTTTTTGTTTTCCAATTTGCTTATGACTTTGTATTTATGTATGGATGTGCATAGTTATGTATGAAGCAGCGTAGTTTTTGGCTCGCGGCCAAATATACTCATACATACTCATACCCCCTGACACTGCCCAATTACTTTGGTTTATCTTTCCACACAATCACTGCAAATTCCTTAAATTTACTTTCTGCAAATTTTCACAACTTCACTTTATTTCATTTTCTATTACACATTTTTTCATGGTGTCATACATTTCACTTTTCGATGAAAATTGGGAGGCCACCTTTTCGCGAATTTGGAGCAACTGTGCAAACAACGAATGCGAATTTTTTAGTCAAACTTTTACTACAATACTATATAGAGGCATGGTTATAATACATCTTGCAATTATTTGTCTTCGCATGACCATTTCTATATTTCTTAGCACCACAAAAGAATGCAATGTTCCATTCCTTTGATTTTAGATTTAATAAATTGTATTTTCTTTTTTTTTTTGCTTTAGTGGCTGGCAGTAGCAGCGCGCCATGGAACGGCTTCACCCATACAATTCGACTTCCAGGAGCACACTGACCACAGTGTACTGAGCACACTGACTGTTTCAGTATGGAGGCGAATCAGAAAGCGGGAGACTGTCTCTTTATTTTGTATCTGGAGATACATATACCCACTCACGATGACGCTGTTGTATCTGTTGAGTTCGTTGTCATGACACTTTACTTCTCCTTGGCCATTCGTTTTGTTTATGACATTTAGCGTTGCTATGTTTGCTGTCTATATTTGCCTGCGCGATTTGTTTATTTTTCATTGCATTATTATTAAAAGTTTTATGAATGAATCTCTCTCTCTCTCTCTCTCTTCTTGTGAATTCAGGTATTCAACAAGGAGGAGATGGAAGTAAGTTGTATACATATCTGATCTCAAAACTACCCTATAAAGCCAATGTTTTTTATATAAGTACATACTCTACGGTGAAAGAATAGAATTAAACTAATACCTATAAATAAATACCCTGTAAAGAAAGAAAAAAAAACAGGTAAACAAACGGCAAGTACATAAATATACATACAAATACATGAATATAAATATTAACTGGTATTACACTGTCGCTGAAGCCGACTAGTTAGTTCGTAGAAATCCCAAATGCGTACACATATATATACATATGTATACAAACTTTACATACATTACAAATAGTTAAAAGATGATTAGTCAAAAGATTTCATTGCAGAGTATTTAGTTACAGTTGTGTGTTAAAATTAGCAGAACTGCAGCCGGACTCAAAAATTCTCTATCGCTAATTTTGATAGCGAAAAATCTTCAGAAGGATAGCGGGCGGGGCTAACAACTTGCAACATCTAGTTAACTGCTCCCCATACTGACAGATTTCGCTGTTTGCACTTTTGCACCTTTCCCTGTTGTATACTTTTAGGCCATACGGCTTTTCATTCAGAGCATTTCGGCGGCGTCAATTTAGAATAGCAATTGTCAGAATTCCACTGCTGCCGTGGAATTCTAGAAATCCCTACGCTAAATTTATATCGCTAAACATTTCGAAATGAATAACATGGGCTTTCAATTATTTAATGCGTAACCCGGAGGGGCTCAATATAAAATCGTAAGCATTATGGATATGGATAATGTGACCAACTATTTCATAGCTCAAAGAAGTACAGGTTACGTTGGGTTAAGTTAACGCCGCGAGCTGATTACGCAATTTCGTAGATGCGGCTAATTTTGATCTCTGAGAGCTCAATACTTGTTCACATGTGCGAGCCAAAATGTTTTCATCTAAGCCTCGCGAAGGTTGGACAGTCTAAAAGAAAGAATGGAGATGATTCCACTTCAACTTTCTCTTGGCAGCTGATGCAAAAGGATCAGTCGAAATTTCTAGTCTCACCGCTACTAGGCTTCTGCCGCCGTTGATCGCCTACCTGGTTACCTGGTACAGGTAATCTTGAGCTAGATCAAAAAGGGTGTATAGAAATCGTCCCTTAACCACAAGTTCCACATCATCTACATAGGCGATCACCCGACAGCCCACTTTTCCAGTTCCTCTAGAAGGTCGTTTACAACCGCAATCCAGGGCAGAGGAAAGAGAAAACCACCTTGTGGAGTGCACCCATTGACTCCCCCCCTCCGCCGCGACAGTTCTATCACGAAATAAGCTTATAAGGTTCGTTTCAACCCCCAGATTATGAATATACTTGACTATTGCCTCTGGAGTGACATTGTTGAAGGCCCCCTTGATATCGAAGAGGCGAAGTGTGCAGGGCGGTATTCACCGACCTTTTCTTGCAATAAGCATATTGAGCTCTTGAAAGACAGTGACAGATAGGCCTAAAATCCCGGCCTTTGGGATGAACGCAACACTGACTATCCTCCAAGCCTTGGGGATGTACCCGGTCCTCATGCATGGATCCAACCAATTGCACGACACCTTCAGAGCCCTTTGCAGCTGCGCAGATATGATGCCATCGGTCCCCGGTGACTTTGATGGTTTAAACGAATTTATCGCCCAGGCCTTGTGACGAATGTTCAGAAGAAAGGAGATGAACAGGACCTGAGGGGAGATTCTGTAACCAGTTACCGACAATTTTCGAAACGCTATCGCTCTTTTTGACGCAAAAACATTTATATCATGCGTAAAAAAGTGCGGTAGCGATCCGAAAATTGTCGCTAACTGGTGACAGAATCTCCCTCCAGAAGTACCAAACATCGTAAAGAAGTACATTTGACTGTACTTCGAAGTACGAAGTACACGAGCGAAAAAAGAAGTACTGTACTTCCGAAAGAAGTACGGTTGGTCACATTAGATATGGATGTTATGTTTCTCTGGAGGCGATGCATAGTTTTATGCGCGAGTCTTATGCACTTAGAGATTTTTTGCGATACAAATTTTAACTGGCGATTTCTAGAATCCCACTGCTGGACAGCATTAGTAGCGTAAGGGACAACTGTCTTAATGTAATACCAGTTCAAGACTTGGCTTCTTCGAGATAATAAATGTAGATGGAACTGACAACGTGCTATTGACAAGGAATTTTAAGCCCCGGCAAAGATGTAACACAGCGCTGCCTCTCAATGGCTACACAGTATCAAGGCTGCCAACTGTCCTTAGAAATGAGGTGCCATATTGCGGATCAAAACGTGCAAGAAACTCCCAAATAGAAAAATAAAAGTGCCAAAGAAATGCCAACATTTTTAATGGAAAGAAGATTATTTCTTTCTTTATTGCTAAATAAAATAAATACTATTTTTCTAAGTCAAAAACGTAAGAACCAAATTGAAATAAAACAATTCTATAAACTTTGGAAACTAGTTTAGTTAATGAAGAAGCAGTACACGCGACGAAATTCACACAAATGTATTTAAATATATACACTTACTGAATAATTTGAACTTAATTTTTTAAACATGTGGCAACTCTCTTGAAACATTCGAAATGTTCAAACTAAAGATTTCTTAGCATTCTTTCGTTTGACTGCGGTGTCTTTATATTTCGTATACTTTTTGAATTAGTTAATTGAGTTAGACCTTTCAACCCGGTGGTAGCCCTCTTCAAAAGTACTTTCAAGGTTAATCATTGTTAACTCTCCTTTGCCGAACACTACGATACATATTTTAATTGATGAATTAAGTGGAATTTTAATCTTCAAACAAACCCGCTAAATATAGTTCAGTAATAAAAAAATTTCAAACCGCCTTCGATTGATACCCATATTTCAATAATTCATTTAACTTATCAATTTTTTTTGAATTTAACTTTTTAAACAGGTTCTTCCAATACCTCAAAAATATTCTTAGATTTCAAACTAAAGATTTCTTAACACTAATTCGTTTGACATCCATATTTTGATATTTCTTGTAACTTGTGTACAAGTAAACTAAAATTCGCGATTTCTAGCAGGCGGAAACTCTCTTAAAAAATATTTCCAAAGGACTTTCTGAAATCCCTTTCGTTTGGCACCCATATGGTGATACATATATCTCTTACTTAATATGATTTTTGAAACAGCTGGTAACCCTCCTATACTTCAGCTAAGAAACAAAGCTTTTCGAAACCATTTCGGTTGATACCCATTTTTTAATAATTGATTTTTTTTTATAAATAATTTGAATATAACTAAAAACAAAAAGTTGGCAACTCTTTTCAAATCGTAAAATCTTTTGAACATCTACAGTCCAAGGTCTTTACTTTGACGTCTCATTTTGGAAAATCGAACGAACGGTGGGGATTTGATGGCATTGACTATTAAATAATTTGAATTTAATTTCTTAACAGGTGGCAACTCTTTTCGAAAAATCAAAATCAGTTTACACATCTACATGGCAAGCGCTTTTTTAATTTGACATCTCATTTTTGAAAATCGGTCGAACGGTGCAGATCTTTTATCCTGAACAAAAAATCCCTTCGCCTATTATATATATACATAGATTATATGTCATCAGTTCCCAACCGGTGGGTCGCGAAAGGGTTACAGGTGGGTCGCGAATCGATCCGGAAACTAGTGGTGGCAAACTATCGATGGTTTTGGTATTTTTCACTATCGATAGTTTTTCAAAACTATCGAGTGTTTTCATTATTGAGACTTTTCCAAATTTAAGACACAAAAATGATGAATGAGCATTTTTTAAAGCGGCAAAACTTTTATATAAAGGAATATATAACAACTATGTTGGCCCAACGTCATCAGTAGAATCGGAACGAATGTATAGTAAAACAGCTTTAATAGTAAACGAAAAAAGGTCGCAACTAAAACATAAAAATGTTGACATGCTATGTTTCTTATGGTGATTTCGTTTCTTCCAAAAAATGTTGGCCTTCACTCGTGTAAAATGTGTTTGTTGTTAAGCTCAACTCGGTAAAAACGCATGGTTTTGCCTTCTTGTCCTTGTCTAGCTCACGCATTTCATAATATTGTCGATTTAAGCAACCATCTGATTTTTAAGGCAACCATCTCCTCTGAAAAGCTTCACAGGGTAGAGAATGCACCTTTTTTGCCTTATAAGAGTGTGAAGTTTTAAGAAACGAACACACAATTTTTTCACCTTTTGCCTTTAATTTAGAATCGAGCCCGACAAGAGAAAAGGGCAATCAAAAGGCGACATTTTTTGGCAGAAACGAAATCACCATTAAATAAAAACAATTGGCTTTAGAAAGCAGAATACGTAAATATGTTAAGTTTTCTAAATCATACTTTCAATATTAAGGTAGGTTCTTATGGTCTATAAAAAACTATAATTTAACGCAATGGGGGTATTCATATAGTCAAAAGTCGATAGTTTGAAAAAAATATCGCCCACTATCGATAGTTTGCCACCACTACCTGAAACTATCAGAAACAATTGAATCAACAACGATAAGAAAAACATAAGATTAAAACACTTTCATTCAATCCTGACATTGACGCGTTGATTCCATTGAAATAGTCTAAAAAATTTCATTAATATTGCATTCTTACTTAAAAACAGCAACTTTACATATTGATACATAGATTATGATAACAATTTTCTTAACCATAACACCGTGTGAAGGTCAGTTTTACATAAAAA